TTTAAAGATAAACAAGTAGATCTGGAAATGTTGGAGGTCAGCCAACCAGTGCAAGCACTGCTGTTGCCAAATGTTGGGATCAGTCCTTCTCTGACCTCCAAATTATTTTGGGCAAGTTAATTTCCTTGATGGAAGAAAAACATTATTGAAAGAGTTTCTTTTTGGCAGCATCATCCTTGTACAACTATATTCTGTAGGAAACAATTTGTCACCTGGAATAACTGCTAAGTTTTCTGGAAAGCTGGCCTGTACATTTATATTTACTACATCTTACTAGATCCAAATATAGTTAGCAGCTGCCTGCCTATAAACTGGAGTGTAGTGGGTAGGAAAGGTTAAGGCAAACTTCGAAGTGTTTGGATAAAAATCTGTTAACAGTTAACACTCGATTAACGTGCGCTAACAGAATTATTGTATTAATTGTGATTACAATTCCAATTTGTAATTTATATATGACTTTTTATCCTGCCCTTCCATGAAGGAACCCAAGTTAACATTTATGGTTGCTTTCTGCTTCACTCATTTTTTCCCCTACAACAAACCTGAGAGGTAAGAGTGACTTCCCTAAGGTTGGCAAGTGAATTTAATGACATGAGTGGAGATTTGGACCTTGGTCTCTCCAGTCTTAATCTGACCTGCTAGCCACTGCATCACGGTGGCTGCAAGTAAAGGCCAAATCAATATAACACTAATGCTTCAAGCTAACCTGTTGAAGCTATTTGTTCACCTTGATTTCTACCTAGAGCTTTAGAGTGTTAAGAAAGCAAGTCTAAAATCACAGATGAAAGTGAAATGCTGATGTGGGACTGGAGAAGTAGGAGGAATGAGTATTTGAAAAGGGAGTCACTGGAATCTCTCTCTAAAAGCTCCATCCTGATTACAGGGGAAAATGAAATAATCATTAAGCCCAGCAATTAACATCTAACTAGCAAAGAGCAGATCATATGCAAGCACATTTAGCTGTTCAACCTCCAAGCCTGTGGGAAGACACAGGGCTTGCATACCTTCCAAAAACTAGCAACAAAAGGCAGTGACAGATCTTGATTATTCCATGTAGATTTAGATTTTTTCATGGAAAATGTTGCAAAGTATTTCAGCATACTCTTCAATAAAAGGTATTGCCCAATTGTGATTTTGTTTTGTTTTGCTTATGGACCAACACAGCTATCTTTTTTATTGAACTGTATAGTAATGACAGTGGCAATGTTCAGTTGATCCTTTCTCATTTTACGAACAAAGCTGTTGCCCCTTCCCTCTTTCCTTCATAGTATGCTGTGGTAATCCCAGAAGTCTCAAATTAATCATAGTTTTCCATTGCATCTGAACCAGGAAGCTATGGTTTAGAACAAGCTAGAATTTTAAACCATGTTCTGAAGTTGCTTCAAGATCCTGAATTTATTAAATTCCTTCAAACTACGGTTTCCCAGTCTGGACCAAATAGAAAACTATGGTTAACTGGGGACTTTTCAGCCTGATTGCTGCTCTCCACATAAGGAGGAAGAAAGTGGCTGTGCGTGGGCACAAGGCTCGTACATATATTGGTTCAACTGAGCCAAGAAGATTGACCAGACTTGCTCAGTATAACAGCGATGCCATTTGCACATACAAGTTCTCTCATGGTTGCAACCTTTTTTTTTTTCTTTTTAAAGGGGGAAATAACAGGCTGTAATCCCAAAATCACTTATAGGAAAATAAGTCTCATTTCACTGAGCAGAACCTACTTCTGAGTATACATGCTTATTCATAAACTGCATGTTAGATCTCATAAATACAGTCACTTCTTCCAAGTAGGGTCAATAAAAGCCTGGGATTAGGAAGCTGCTTGTAGTGTCCATGTATGCAATGGTTAAACCATGTTTGCCTTGACCTGGCAATTGTTCTGGCTGCCCGTGCAACTGTTTGCCTGACCTGCTGGCAAATGTTCTGGCTGCAACTTGCAATGACTTAGAAATAAACCATGATGTGGGTGCCGCTCTTTGTGGCAAACCAGTCTAAAGGATTCACAGCTATGGTCAGCTACTAGTGATGACAGCTTTAACTGGTGCTGCCACAAAGTACCTATCACCATGAGAAGTGTCTCTCAAATGCACAGTACATCCTGTAGTTTCATTATGATCTGGCTCAGAAGAATAGTGCTCATCTCTTAAAGAACTAAATAGTTGGAAACATCAATATTGAAAGGGCTGCCTCCTATATGTGCTTCTCTATATCCTACAATTATCATAATCAGAGGACTTCCTTCTCAATAGAAAAAGGAGATTGCATTTATATCCTACCTTGTGAGGAGCCCAAGGTGTCTTACATAGATCCCTTTTATCCTCACAACAACCTTGTGAGGTAGGTTGGTCTGAGAGTGGGTGGACTGGCCCAAAGTTAACCAGTGAGTTTCATGGCTAACTTGGGGCTAGAACCCAGATTTTCTGGGTCTCTAGTCCAACACTTTAATCACCACACTATACTGACTCTGAGTCATGGCATCTCATGTACCCTGTTAATGTTTCTAAAATGTCTGGGACTGCCATATTTTCAGGATGCACTTTAAAGGAATGGATAGAAAGCCATGCTTCTATTATATTTAAGAGACATTTGTGTAACACTTACTGCAGCTATGGTATTCATTTATATATTGTTAGACTTGTTGGAATCAGAAATCAATTAGAACTGTAACTTTAGTAACATACAATACTTAAGCAAAATTTTGCAGTTAGTCTTACCCCTCTGAGTACTGTATCATGTCCACAGTCAACGTTTGTAAATTGGGAGGAAGTGGATCCCAATTTTCATTTAAAAGTGATCTTGAGAAATGCACCAGGAGCACTGGTAAATCATCTCCAAATGAAAGCTGCCAGGCAACCCTACCCTCCCATCTAAATTATGGAGTTAATTGCTGTAGGCGTGGTGGTGCACTCAGTGACTGTCCCTACCACTAAAATCTTCAGTCCAGCATTGTATGTCTTTCTGGTTTACAGTAGGTTGATCCAGGATAGGTTGCTACTGAACTGAACTGTGGACTGATGTTGGAATGTGTGTTATCATGGCTGGATCCAGCTAAGAAATCATGGTGCGCAACCTACAGTTCACAACCCAACATCAAGCCATAGGTTTTGTCCTCCACCAGCTCCTCATAGCTTACAAGCCATAGCTTGTTAGTATAGCTGGGTTCAGATAAAACAATAACCCGGATTTCAAAAAGAGCCCACGGTTAAACAGCAACCAGTCAACCCTTAAGTGTGGGTTATCATCTTGTGTGAACGCAATGCCCTATTTTCTGTTCATTTAATCAAACTTATCGCTAGTTTAATTTAGGGGAAAAATCCTCCCAATGTGTTGCACTACAATTGTTAAACAATTACCGGGAAGTATGGCTTTCTGAACACAAAAGTACATTAATGGACACGTTCAACTGCACTATTTTTTTTAACGGAGGGGGCAGCCCTGTAAATCATCTGAATTCGTAGGAGCAACCCTGCACCCCCACAAGAGCAACGGCCAACAATGCCCTCCCTTGTCTGCTTCTCGGCAGCATTCGTGCCAGCTTTCTGCCGGGAGCCGCGGTCCATCGACGTCACCAGCAGCCTGCATGGGCATGACGTGATGGTGCAACGCCATGATGTCATGGTGCAGAGCCTCGGCCACTGATGCGCGCACGGGCGCGCCGGCATTTCGCGGCGACGCTCTCCGCAGGCGGCGCGGCCGACGCTGGGGTCAGGCCCTCGCCCTCTCGCCGCTCCCCTGCAGCCTCCCTCGGCTCAGGGGCTAGAGCCGGGAGGAGCAGCCCCGCGCGCCGACTTGGGGGGCTGTGGTGCCAGAGGGCGCTGAGCTCGGCGCAGCGGCCGGCGCGAGGGAGGAGCTTGCCGGGCAGGGCGGATCCCGCAGAGCAGGCGCCCCGCGGTGGGAAGAGCAGAGCCGAGCCGAGCCGAGCAGCGGGATCTCGCCGAGCCGCTGGGCGTCCTGCTGCCGGCACCGCCGTCTGGGCATGAGGATGACGGTCGGCGCGGCTGCGGGAGACGGCGCAGCGCCGAACCCCGGGCCCGCTGCAGTCTCGCTGGGCTTGAGCGTGGCCGTGGTGTCGAGCCTGGTCAATGGCTCCACGTTCGTGCTGCAGAAGAAGGGGATCGTGCGGGCAAGAGGACGAGGTAGGGGCGCTCCCGCGGGCCTGATCGACCCGGCTCTTGTCCCTTCCCAGGGCAGTGTCTTGCTGGCTGCAGCTGCTGCGCTTTCCTGCCTTGGCCGCGGTCACCATCCTCTTAAAGCTCTCCTCCCACTTTGCTGCTCCCTGCCGGCTTCTAACTCTGCAGCCAGCAGCCCTGCCCTCCCAGCCCACCCCGGGTCCACGGTACCTCGTCCGGAGGTCACTCTCTCCGAGCGAAGCATTGGCGCACGCATCAGAGCACACCGAGGCTTAGCAAGGCAATTGCACTGCCCCGTGGTTTCTCTCCCGACAATGCCCGTTGTCATTCGTTCCGTTTTCCTTGGCTCGAGCCAGGGAGTGAGGTGACGGTGTGTGCGTGCGAGGGAGACGGAGGGAAATCCCTTGTCCAATGCAGTAACGCGCTCCCTGTCTGCACTTGCTAGCACAGCTTTGGACCTTCTGGGCAGGTACGGCTACTGCAGCTAATATCTAATTTAATCGATCCGCCGTGCAGTTTCTCTAGCTTTTTTCTTTCTAGCATATGCACACAGCCCAGTCTTCGCGTGATCTAGTGGGACCCCCGACCACTACCCTTTGTAATGCGAATAGCTGTTTCTGTAAGTCACTATTCAAAAAGTTTTTATGTTGTGCACGAGTTTTGGATCCAGCCAATTCACTTTTCTTTAAAAGGTGCTTTGCAAATTGAGTATTGGTTTTGCTCACCAGGGTCTGGCCAGAGGTTTATGGTTCAATTCCAGGACCATAGCCCTTTCTCCTATGCTAGGTTGTGTGTGTGTGTCTAAAACCTGTGTTAAGTGATATATTTATTTACTTACTTATTAAAAGCTTTTCTAGACCATCCACTACAGGCATCTCAGAATGGCTTACAAGAAAAAGTGATCTGTGCAAGCACAACAGTGTTCAATTTTAGTAAAAGAGAGTGGCTTGACTTGCAAAAAATGTTAATTTAGTATGAACACTAAAGAGAATCCACAGGTTGTATGTTGCTGCAATTTAGGGTCCTACTTTAAGCATACCCAGTGGTATTCTTCCCTCTCCCCCCTTTGAACAGCAGATACTTATGTTATTTTAAACTCACTTTAAAGAATAGTTTACCATGTAGTATATGAGAGGGGTTACTGTTGAAAAACATGTCCTGTATCATATGCCCATGGGTATCCTTCTTTGGATTTTTGCCAGTTAAGCCCTGAAATCAGACTGAAGCATATAACTCTCTACAAATAACATGCCGTTTTTGTCATTAGATGCCTTCATTCAGGAGCTGCTGCCTTTTCTAGTAGGAGTACTCATACTGAATAGCAACCAATACTCTCAGACCTGACAGAGGGAGAAAGATGATACTGGCAGCTCTGGCTGTTCCATGCCAGAAACTAGGCCTGGAGGGGGAATTCTTGCAGTCAATCGTCTGTTCACCGTCCTGTTACAAAACCATTGAGATCTGTTGCTTAAACAAGACCTGCTGTAAGACAACACAGGAAATTTCCCTGTTTCCCCAATTGACTGCAGTTAGTTGTTCAGATGTTTGAGATAAATAACTGAAGTGCAGAGGGAAGAAGAGAGTAATGACCAGCAGTAACTCATCTTGACAGCTCTCAGTTGAAATTAGATCCAGCTATTCTTCATTCTTCAATCAATGTACCTTGTGTTAATATGTGCAGTTTAAAAACAGTTTTGGCATGTTATACTCCTGAAGTAAAGAAGGCTTACTATTGGCTGACAGATGCCCAAAGTCTTTAAGTTGCTTACGTATGTCGCTGTGACTAGACCCAGTGTGGTGAATTTATTCTCATGACAATTTTTTGGGAAGAATTGTTCTGAAAGTAGTAGCCTCAACATATGCAACTGGGACATGCTGTTTTTTTCTTCTAGAGATGACATTACCAATTTTATCTACTAGTGAGCCCAACTATGAAGCCCGTGGTTTTTCCAGTGTTGTCGTCCCAGGCTGTTAAAGCAGCCTTCCTCATATGAATGGGGAGTCTGCAAATGGATGCAAATCTGAATGCAGAAACTGATTTATCTGCACTGTATTGTTTTCTGTGAGATGCAGATTTTGGATGCACTCAAGTCTGTATCCTGCTGAAAGCAACAGACAGTCGATTGCTGATATTCCAGCCACTTGAGGGACACAAATCACTCTCTATGGATCAGGACCAGTGTGTAATGTATTCTCTTTGACTTGACTGCATATATTACTGTGTTGTGACCGTCCTGTATGAACACAATTGCTTATTATTTTTGCTGAAGTGATGCTGTGTTGTGAAGTACACAAGATGCATATGGAATCTGACTTAAGGATGTCAGATAGGAGCTCAGGACATCATTCCAAAAACCAGTCAAGGATCTATATCCTTCATTTTTAGGGAATGTTAATTTCTCCTTCTTGGGGGCTGGCATGAAAGGGAATGCCTTTGATAATGAGCAGAGGGTCATCCTCTCACTACTGAGATGTGGAAAACTGCTTTCTACTGCAGCCAGACCATGGGTTCCTCTCACTCATATCACTGACACCCACTCCCAGCAGCCTTTCAGAGTTTCTGGCATGAGTTTTTCTGGCCTTGCCTGGAGATGCTAGACGTTGAACCGTGCACCTTCCATGTATAGAGTACGTGCTCTGCTACTGAGCTAGAGCCCCACTGCTAAATTGAAAAGACTTTCCAGTGGCAAAATACTGAGCATTTTTCTATGGAACATTGTCTATCATCTAAAACTACACTATTTCACAAAATTAATCAGGATTATGACAAATGGATATTCTGCCAGTCAAACTGGGCAGTTCAAATCATAATTAGCTTTTTATGGGAAGCTTGCAAAAATTTATAACAAATGTTAATTCATCTTTGCTTGGGCATGTTAAACTTAATATGCTAATAGTTTCGTGTGCCTTAATATGCTAACAGTTTTGTGTGCCTTGAGCAAAATAAAAATTAGTTAAATGTGTTGTCGTTTGTCAGGGGCAGGATTAGCCAAAGGGGCCCTGCTTCCATGTTGCTCAGAAAGGGGGGAATAACACCGAGATAGAACTTAGATGTACCTGAGAATCATCCCTAGTTCTCAACGTTTGGGTGTATTTAAGTGTGGCATGGGGGCCAGAGTGTCGGGCTGGGGGCCTGGGAAATCCAGCTTCCAGTCCCTCTCAGCCATGAAGCTCACTGGGTGACTTTGAGTCAGTCACCCACTCTCAGCCCAACCTACTTCACAGGGTTGTTGTGAGAATGAAGTGGAGTTGTAGAAGACTAATAAGCCAATTTGGGTTCTTTGCAAAAGCAAAAAAGTTGGGATATAAATGCAACATAATGGTGATAATATAGATGCAAAAGATGTCATTTTCAAGAGGTGTTGAGGTTTTTTAAAATTGTAATCTGGACAGATATTCAACAGTGCTAATGTTAGAGCCTGAAATTGATTGCTAAGCCAAAGCCTTGGGCTCAGTGATATTCCAGCTGGGCGGGATATATAGATTTCAAATGCACCCAACCTATGGAATTCACTCCCCAAAGAGGTCCGCCTGGCACCGTCGTTACTGGTTTTTCGGCGCCAGGTAAAGACCTTTTTATTTAAACATCACTTTAATTGTTAAAATATATGATCTGGCCAGGGCAATTTTCTTCTTCCTTCTCCTTTCTCCTCCTATATTATTTATTGACTTCTTTTATACTGATAATTTTAATTTTATATTATTATGTTCGTAACTCAGTGTATTTTTTGTATTTTTGTATTTAATGGTAATGTATTATGTTTTATTGTATTTCAATGTATTTTATTGTGTTGTAAGCCGCCCCGAGGCTTCGGCAAGGGGCGGCATAGAAATGTAATAATAATAATAATAATAAGTTGAGTCAGAAAATGTGAGCAGGATCATTTCCTGAAAAGGCCTACATTACAAAACCCATGGGGGGGGGGGGAGAGAGAAGATTCTTAGTATTCATGAAGCAAACTTCTCTGTGCTATTTTTTTCTAAATCTCACTTCAGAAAAATCCTTTGTGAGATCTCAGTGTTAGGTAAAGAGTATTCCCAGGACTCTGTTCCATTGTTTCGTTCAGTAGTGCCTTGCTAAATTTTAAACTGCAGGCATCCATCATGACATGTCCCTAAGGAAAGTCCAAAGGGGCAAATCCATTGGTCTCTCAGCAAACCAGTTCTAGGAGTTTTCATATCCACAAGAAGCAGATAATTTATAAGGGTGATGGGTCCTAATTGCCTGTTCAGGACCAAACCGCCCCAAATGTTTTGCCTTACAACAGGGACTATATTGTTGCTGGGAAAATTCATTTTCCACACAGGTAATGTGAAGATTGCAGCTATGTTCAGAAGGAACAAGGAAGTCTAAGGGAGTGGCAAATGACTTGTATGACACTAATAAAAAAGTGCTTGGTCCTGTGTCCATGTGAGCCCTTATTCCTCTACATCATGGTTAGCATTCACAGAACCCAGGATAAATAGCCACATTTTTCATATTAAGAACATTGGTAGCACAGGGTTGATTGATTTCCGAGACATGACTTGGCCTAATAAGACTTAGCATTTTTGCAACAAATGTTCCGTGCTTGACTTGTATAAACTAAATAACCCTTGCAGTAGCCCTGTATGGGAGGCCAGTATTAGATTCCACACAACCTGGCAGCTAAAGAACAGATACAGTATGTAATTAGTAAAGTATGTTTAAATAAAGTTTTTCCAGTATTGTTGATGTGGTGCTTTCTGATCATCCACTTTTCTAGGAACTTCGTATTTAACGGACATAGTCTGGTGGTCAGGCACTATTGCAAGTAAGTATATCTTAAAGTGATTAATTGAGCAATTTATTGCCTAAATATGTAGCCACAAGTTCTGCACTGCCCAGCTTATCTGGTGCGTTCCACCGGTATCTTTTTCATACTAGTCCCATATCTTGTGTTGTATCAGCATAGTAGGCCTTCCATTAAGTCCAATCGCCTTTCAATCACATAACTGAAGTTCAGAATTTCTGTACAAAATAGTAAACTAAGCTGGTTTGGTCTTTTCTTAAGTAAACTGTGTCCAAACAGTGCAAACTCACTGAATTCATGGTATTATTTACATTAGTAAATACAGTAGTGTTTACATTGTATGATTACATTGCTTTTTACATTAGTAACTTTTACAGTTTGTTCCTTTTTTTAAGATGTTGGATAATGTGTCTTTAAAATGGCCATTTTGATTACTCTGTTACAGTTTGTATTTTTTTAAAAATAGCCAAAGACATTAGGTTACACAAGTTTCATATCCTTTTAAAACTGTAAAGGTTTTTTGTTTTTGCAGGGCAACTGAAAACATTATGCAGCTTGGAACTATTGGAATGCTCAGATTTTGAACAACAGACATAATCAGATTCTTTTTAAAACTTAGTGTTGCTGAACTAGTTCTGCTCAGAAACAAACCATTGAATGAAGGTGTGACCAGCCTCTATTTTCATTTCCTAAAAAATCTCAGGCCCACTTGTATTTTGCTGCCTACCCAGCAAAATGGGCAGTGTGATTGGTGTGTAGGACTAGGACTCAGAAGATTCAGGTTCTAGTCTACAAATCTTCACTGGGCATTTTTTGGACCACTCATGGACTCTCAATCTAACCCACTTTCTAGGACTACAGTGAGGATAAAATGGAGATGAGGATTATTTTAAACTGTCTTTGACTTTTTTGAGGAAAGCTGCTGCTGCTGCTGCTGATGATGATGATGATTATAAATAAAGAAACACAGGAGTGCAGACTGAGTTTTAAGCAGTTGGCAGGCCATGACAGATGGCTAGTGAACCATGTTTGTCTTGGTGGTCTTCAGCCTGTGCAGGTCTTCTGCAGAGAAACAAGGCCTTATGCCTGCAAATCTGCATGAAATCTGTATCACCCCAAATGCTGTGGAGGACATTCCATTCCAGAGGCAGCTTTTTCAAAACTTTTTTTTAATGCATGGGCCAAGGAATAAAAACAAAAGTCACAATCTCCACTGGTGCCTCCAGTGCCTGAGGCAGTTATCTGGCCTCCTTGCAAGGCTGCACCTGCATTCAGGTGCTGCCTTGTGAGTGCTTAATCAGGTCATTGGTTCATCAGATATGTCCAATACTGTTTTGGAGATGTATGAGGTGAGCCAAATTAAATCCAGTAATGCATTTGAATAGCATTGCTTTAACCAAAGTGTAGTCATCCTTTCTGTATCCCCAAATTACCTTGGTATAGAAAACTCTAGTTCAACACTTTTCACTACTCCATTTTCTTTATCTATTAGATGTATACCCCACCTTTTTTTTAAAAAAGAACTCAAAATGGCTTGCATCATTCTGCTGCTGCTCTCAGCCTTATACCCCCAGCAACAACCCTGTGAGGTAGGTTGGGTTGAGAGTCTGTGACTGGCCCAAAGTCACCCAGTTGGCCCCATGGCTGAGCAGGGACTAGAGCCCAGATCACCAGAATCCCAGTCCCATGCTTTTCACCGCTACGCCACACTGGCTCTCATGCACTTGCCGTGTGTAGCTCAACATATATTGTACAAAACATGTGTCCTCATGAACTTCTGCAGGGAGCCAGACTGTCTGCAAACAAGTCCTTACAGTTGCAAAGCCTAGAAGCTACTTCCCTCAGTTTGCTTATTTGCATGACTCAGGATTGAGCTTTGTATACCTGACTACTGTATTTTGATTGGCTCTAAGATACATGGGTTGTGATGTCATAAGACCTATATTCACTTGGAGCTATCCTAGCTATCCTACCACCAAAAGGTATGCCCCGTCTCCCTTGCTTTTTCTTTGTTCTTTGCCAATTTGTGCATCTCTTTGTGAGGCTGGTATGTGTCCATTTTGTGTAATAAAAGGTATGTGTTCCTTGTAATCATGGGGAGTGCTTCTGCCAGAATAGAAGAACAAATATTAAAAGTGCTTAATAAGATCTTTCAATAGTAGAAGGCAGAACCTTAGAGCACAAATTAATGATACCAAGGAAAGACCAACAAAAAATAGTGACAAAAATAGTGATGCATCCCTGTAATTTTAGAGAATCCATCCATCACTTGCAACAGTCCTATCACCTCACCCAACTTCCAACAAGTCCCATTCCTGTCTCTCGCATATCTCAGCTTTGTTCAAACCTCACTTGTGTTTTTCTCACCCTTATGTGCACTCAAAAAGATGGCACACCTTATGGTAAGGTAGTTGCAACACTCTCCTGTGAGAGAGAGATCACCTGCGCCTTCTGTACCTGTTAATTCAGAGCACTTCCAGTCATTACCTGGATCTGAACTTGAAGAGCATGAATGGACAGAAACTGGTGGAGCAGTGGCATTTCTTGTTGCAAATATTTACTACTTACATAGTCTGCCTTTCCCGCAAGCAGCTCAGTGCAAAGTAGAAAGTACTGTAATTTGGTTTGTATACCCACAATTCAGGTAGACTTTTTTGAAGGCAAATAACAGGCCCAAGGTCACCTCATGAACTTCATGGCTAAGTGGAGTTTTGAACCTGGATTTTTCCCAGCGCTTAGAGTACCCCATTTGGTACTCTAACCAGAATTGCTCCCAGTATAATATATATCTTATATGATAGGTTCAAAACTGTTTTGGTTTTTTAGTGAACATAACATTATTCATGCCTATTCAGAGCAATTAAATTCAATGTTTAGCCGCAAAGTTGTGCCCGGCCCAGCACGACCCTATGGGCAACATTCCTCCAGGCTCTCCTTAAATTCAATAGGAATTTTCAGGTAAATAGATATAGAATTAAATCATTCAAATTGATACAGCAGCCTAAGAGCGCTGTCTACTCATTTCATATCCCAGTTGAGCCTCATTCCTCCCTGCCCCCACTGCTGGTTTCCTATGGTTGTCTAGACAGCATCTAAAGGCCATCAGAATTGCACCCTGAATCAGTGTTTCCAGAAATGCTGGACAGTAAAGTGTTAGCAATGATACAAATAAATGCACAACCATCATGCTTGTCCATGCAGGGGACAATGGATGGGAAGACTATCCAGTCTTCGGGAATAAACACACTGAACTTCTGTTGAGCTAACCTATTTTTCTTTCTTTTCACAGTGGCGCTCGGTCAGATTGGGAATTTCTTAGCCTATACTGCAGTTCCTACAGTGTTAGTGACTCCACTTGGAGCCCTTGGAGTTCCATTTGGGTAAGGGTTTCATTTATTTGTCTCTAGATGAATATCTGGAGCAAGAAATTTAACATAATGAAGATGAAAGTAGCTTTTAGGCAAGCGTTCCATGCTTATTGTACTCATCCTGTGTAGATCAGAAGAACCTTTTCTCCATGCTTATCTTCAGTTTTCTATCTTTAGGCTTCTCTCTATTCTACTGCTACTCTTTTAAAATGCTTCTTCCACCTGGAGCTTTGTTCATACCTTTTTCCTTTAGGTACCAACTGTATGTCCTATTTCATTTTCTTTTACTCATCCAAGGTTATTGACTTCAATCTCATTAGATTTGGCCACATTTCCCCTGCTTCTCCCCCATATATTTTTTAATGGAGGTTCATCTCCTGCTGTCAAATATTAGTGAAGTACTTACCCCACTTCCTAGCCAAATGTGATGCTGCCCTTAAGGCCAATACTTAAATTTTCATCTAAATAAGGAAGCAGAAGATCATAAACTGCTATTTCAAACAACAGTGCTCTGTTATTCACGGAGGAACAAGAAGATAGACCACATTAAAGGAAAACCCTAAGGCAGGGATTGTACACTTCTGGCCAGTGGAATTTCTTCATCTGGCTTAGATATCCAAGGTTCAGACTCTGGCTTAGAGTCTCTCTGTGGATTCTCTCCACATCTACTTCTCAGGCCTCATCTCACCCCTACCCTTCCTAGGGGTTGAGAAGAAACAAAACCAAGGAGCAAAGGGAACTGAACAAGCGTACCTTCACCTGCACTGCAAACTCACTAATGGAACAAGGCAGAGGACCTGTGGCAGATGGATCATCGACTCTTCACTGCACACAGGTCTTCCGGTGGGCGGCAGAGCTTTTAGCTCTGCATGGAGCAAAGCCAGGTGGTCAGTCAAAACACGGGGCAGATGATCCACCCAGTACCTCAGCTCAGTGACATCAGGGTCCATGGCCCCACTGCCTGCTGGGAGTGGCTGGGGTCATCTGGCACCCACATCCCAAACAACTTCCCTGCTTCTGTTCTAAGGTTAGCAGTAATGCAAACCATCCATTTTTTTAAAGCCTCCATAATTTAAAAAGTAGAACAAACACCCTTATGGCGACCAATCCTGTTGAATAGCCACATGGTGTTAAGTGTCAGTTGGAGCAGAGAAAAGGACAAGGCTGAGAGGGGAAATACAATATTCTGCTTGGAAAGAATGGAACAGGAGCATATTAGAGACTAAATGCTTTTCATCATACTATTCAAGTGTGGAATAAGTGAGAGTTTACCCAGTCCGTGGGGGGGGGGGGCATCCACATATGCACCTAGCAAACATCAGCACATGTTTCCCTCCATAGCATTTTGAAGGCTCCTTCCACTACATGCAGCAGTTTCACTGCAGTTTGGTTGAATCAATGAAATCCCACCACATGGCACATATCCCCAGTCTATAGCTGCCCTGAAACAGCTAAAATGCACAAGCGATATGCTTCTGGAATTGTAATCTGAGTAAGACCCCCCCCCCTCCTTAGCTGTGAAATGGAATTTTAAAACATTCCTTCTTGAGATTGCAGTGAAGACCAAGAAGGTAATTATCACACAGTCCTATGAACACTTACCTGAGATTAAGCCCCAGAGAACACAGTGAGACTTATTTCTCTGCACTACAGAAGCATGCATAATACCAGATTATTGACACATCTTTTATATGTATGTTTTGACTTTTTTAATACAGGAAACCTTGGTTTCACAGAGTTGTATGTCTTTCACTATACCTCATTTTTACTAGACAATGTTCTATGTTTATCAGTGAAAGGTTTCCTCAATAATCTAATACAGAGCTTCTTTATAATATTTCTATACTGCCCAATAACCAAAGCTATCTGGGAGATTTACAAGAATTAAATGTTGTAAAAGTATATTTCCTACAATGATTACTAGTTTGACCTAAATTTAACTTGGAACAAAACATGCTGAATCCAGTCAGATTGCTTCCAGGTAATCTTTCACAGGAATGAAGCCTAAATAAAGGGAAAGTGGAAAATAATGTTGAGATATAGAATGGTCTTACTTGGCACAAACGTGGTTTGTAGACCCCTTTCTACCAACTGAAATTTTCAGAAAACAAAATACTAGAGCACAATCCTGCCAATCTGGCACTTCTTAAAACCAAATTGATTTCCGTAAGAGACAGTTAAGCACCTATTTGCATCTCATATCCTGAATGTAAGAATACAAAGGAGTCATGCTATACCAGATTATAGGCTGTTTCGTCCAGCACTCAGTTCCCTAAGTGGCCAACCAGCCTACAGGCAGAACATGGCTGTGTTATCACCCTCCTGCTCATGTTTCTCAGCAACTGGCTTATAGGAGCATTGATTTACCACGTCTGATACTAAAAACAGTATATAGCCATCATGACTTGTAACCATTTATCCTCCATGAATTTGTTAAATTCTTTTAGAAGAGCATGAGATGCTTAACTGTACTCAGCTGCTGCTGGATTGTATGGGCAGATCCCATTTCCTCCTCAAATAAAATCTTAGCTTGTCAAATGGTGATATTGATTGAATTATATATATATATATATTACTTTTTTAAAAATCTAGTTGAAAGCCTTATGTTATGATCATAAAACCACAGGTTCACTCTGTATGGCTAAAACATTCACTTCTTAATACAATCTCTTATGGAGAAAAGACAGACACCTCAAGCATTCTTTTTGGGATAGATCTGTATATTTGGATCCAGATATTACATTTATACAATTCTTAAGGCATGTATGCAGCAATCAAGTGCAACCCACTTGCTTTAAAAAGCAGCACGAGGTATCCCTCATAGATTGCCATTTATTTTAAAGTAAATACCACATCTTTCTCTTTCACTGTCTCTGATGTACTGTGTAATCATCACTGGACTTTATTTTAAGAAAATAAATACTCTTAGATCTGGACCACTCTTCTAGTTCACAAACTTTCAGTTCTTAGATAAGGTGGTAGTGGTGCTTGTTTGTTATTATCTTCCTCGGAGGAAGGCAAACAGAAAATGTTACATAGATTTATATTTTAACTACATGTATTTTTTAGGAAAGGCCCACAAAAATGAGTTTTTTGAAGATCACAAAGGGTAACAGGAAAGAGTTCCTTCTTGTATTTCCACCAGCCAAACTGAAATCAGATGTTAAAATGTATCTCATAGTGGCTGTATCCCTTAAGGCTTAGCTCCCGATTAGGAAGCAAGTAAACCACTGTAAATGAACAAACAAAACTTCAGTCCTGATCAAGAAGAGAAAAAGAAGGATGAATAATGCATTTTATTAAAATTTAACAGCACTGAAATCGTGAATTAAAATGTTCTCTTCCAACTTCTTTTTGAAAGCTCCATTTTAGCTTCCTACTTATTGAAAGAAAAACTCAACATTCTTGGCAAATTGGGCTGTCTGCTGAGCTGTGCAGGTTCTGTTGTTCTCATAATCCATTCTCCAAAGTCTGAAAGTGTCACCACTCAGGCAGAACTTGAAGAGAAGCTCACAAATCCAGGTATTTAATTCCTTGGAAAAATGATGATGCCAAGCATATCTAAGTCTCAACAGATGCATTAGTTTCATAGCACAATCAAGCACTGAGGCAGCTGATCAAACATGAGATATCATTTCTCTGCTTTGTGCTCCTTTCCAAGCAGTTTCATAAAGGGAAAGAGGGCTGATCAACTCCTTCCTCCTGGTGCATCTTTAATGATGGATATTCATTTGCTCTACAATCCTAAACATGTTTATTCAGAAGCAAGTTCCACTGAATTCAGATTTGCTTCCTAGTAAATACATTTAAGGTTATAGCTATCGATCATAACTGTAAGGATAGTAAGCAAGCCAACTTGTCTTCTTGATGTTAAACCATGAACTGCTAAAGATCCTTGTATGCTTCACTGCATCATTAAAAGGAAAAGCAGCTGTAATACCTCACAAGCCTATTACACAGGATTGTAACCGCTTATTACTCAGGCTTATTACACAGGATTGCAGCCACTATAAATGTATTTGAATGCTTTGTATCTAATATACAAACCAAAACTATTTGTTTGAAGGGTATAGCCTTAAAAGTTAGCAGTTATTTTGGATGCGGCCACTTATTGTTACAGCAGGTAGAAAAAGAGGGCATTCTTAACTGTGAAATTCAGTTTACTGAGTTCCATGGATGGCATTCTCCACCTCAGGATGGCATCTCCTCATGGAGTTTGCAGGCACACGCACATGTTATCTCTCCAGAGCAAGAGTTGTCCTGTTTCCCAGAACAGAGTAGTAAAAGAGAACCTTCCTCACCTCTCGTTAACCTAGTTTTAAACAAGGCAAACATATCAGACTACTAACAGCAGTCAAAAGAAAGAGAGGTTAAGCAGCATTCCTGGAAGCTGACTACCACCAACATGTAAGGTGACGGCAGAAGCCTTTATATTACTAGCAATGTGAATAATGATGAGAGACTGTCCACATTCTGTTGCCTGCTCCACTAGCCATGTGGCTAAATGTCTTCTGTGGCACTCCAAAAACTGAGGTGCAGTAATCCACTGGTGGGAGATTTGGTGGGAGATTTGAGACAGATAAAAGGAACTAGGCACCCAGAAAACTACCGAACTGTCAGAATAATGCAACAGTGGAAGCAGTTGCCAGGAGAGATCATGGGCTCCCCGGCCCTAGAGACACCCAAGGCAAAAATGAGTGGGATGGTGTGACCTGGCATCCTGCACCAGCAGCCGGGTTGGACCCAATGGCTTTCTTGGCCCCTTCCAGCCCTACTATTCTATGATTCTATAATTTGGATGGCAACTTAAAACAGCTTTGCAGAATTCTGTTAAAAAGAATTTATCCAAAAGTAAAGGCTGTGTACCACTTGAAGGATCAGAAATGGTATAAAGCTGTGTTCCTATGATCAATGTATGTTTTCTGTGCTCATAGTGAACCCCAACCAGAGCTTCAAGAGAATTAGTGGTCACATCTAGTTGCTCCTCTGTACCATGGTTTGCAAGGTATGAGTATACACTGTGTGTATGCACTCCCTTTCCTCCTGTATATGCACCTCAATTCCTTATTTCCTATTTGAATCAAAACACTATTTGCCATGATATGTGAGCTAACAGATCTGTTTGAGTGTTCCGAACCAAGATTTAACTGGCATTCACTTTGCATGGCAAGTTGTAATTTGATTACACAGAAAATAAGGGATAAAGCCTTGCACTATAGAGAAAGGGTCAGCTTTCAGTCATGAGGCTTTGAAGAATAGTTTTTAAGATGATTGGAACACAGCTGGTGTGAACTTGTATCACTTATAAATATTGGGCAGAGTGAATGGTTTTCTGTTGCTGTTTTCTGAAAATGTGCATGTAACACTAATAATGTCCTCAGAAAATGGTGTATGTCCAGATTGGTCATGCTGTTATTTTGTCTTTGTTTTTCAGTGTTCGTGGGCTACCTCTGCATTGTTCTTCTCATGCTTCTTCTGCTTATCTTTTGGATTGCACCAGCACATGGACCCACTAACATTATGGTTTACATCAGTATTTGCTCACTGTTAGGAAGTTTCACAGTGCCTAGCACAAAAGGCATTGGACTGGCTGCTCAAGATATCTTTCACAATAATCCATCGAGTCAAAGAGCACTGTACCTCTGTTTGGTTCTGTTAGCAGTATTAGGATGTAGCATAATAATTCAGTTCAGGTACATCAATAAGGCCCTGGAATGTTTTGACTCCTCGGTGTTTGGTGCCATCTACTATGTGGTGTTCACCACCCTGGTCTTGCTGGCTTCAGCCATCCTATTTAGAGAGTGGAGTAATGTTGGAGTGGTTGATTTCTTGGGGATGGCTTGTGGATTTACTACTGTATCCATTGGAATTGTTCTTATACAAGTTTTCAAGGAGTTCAATTTCAATATTGGAGAATTGAATAAGCCTAACATGAAGACTGATTAAGCCCGTAATATCAGAAGAGACTGGATGATCCAGAGAATAACAGAGCCTTCTATTCCTAGGCTACAGGAATGATGGAGCCTTGAATTTCTAAGCTCGGAGAACAACAAAGCCTTTCATTCCTTGCTGGAATATGTGAAATGAATCAGTGTTCTCAATCCAGTTTCTCTAGGACTACTGTTATCATGCTTCAACCATCTAACGGTATCAAAGGAATAATCTTATAACCCTCACAGCAGATGGGGTAAGACTTGCATCAGCACAGAGGCTGATGTTTTTCTTCACCCTAGAAGATTATCAGTAATAATGAAGGGTTGAAGCATTCTGACATATAAGGGTGCAAAAGCCCTTTCAAATGGCTACCTGAAACTTTCTAGTTGTGTGAATAAACTATATCAGCTTCTTCTGTGCTAGTTGCAGAGGTGCCGTAAGTGATAAATTATCCTTTTGAAAGATGTAGATACACTTCAAAAATGAGGTTGAAATTTCCTCCCCTATATCTCTGTAGTTACATACCAGAATTCCTGGTTCTCACAGCTTTATCTGGAATTCTCCAATCAGTATTTCAGAATCTGTACACTGATGTATCGCCTTCTGTCATTGATTGCCTTTGCAATTTGGACTGATTATGATACATTTATAATTATGTCCAAAACATAGAGCAGTGCATTTATCTCTTAAAATTTTTGCTTGCTTACCAGCTAAAACTCGCTCACACACCTTAGTAAATACAGTATTCCATTTACAGGTATGCCTTTTGTTCGGAATAAGCATCTGAAGTGCATTAACACGTGGCATTAATCCAGGAATGTTTAATGATCAACAGAAAAGAATGTGAGGGTTGTGGCAGACCAGAAACACTTTTCTACCTTTTCTTTTTTGGTAGATTGTTTGTAAACAGTTGGAAACTACTTCAGTGCCTTTGAATTCTAAAAAGATCACTCCTGTGTGGCAGATCATCTTCTCTTAATGTTTGGCTGTCCTCTTATAGACAAGTCACATGGCCCATAAAGGGGCAGAGCGATTTTAGCACCTGCACTGATCATTGAGGCGTCATGGTGATAACTTCTGTGCACTTCCCACAGTGTGTTAGTTCTGAGTTCTTTCATTTTCTGTTCATAATGTTCTCAGTCTTTGTAACAAAGCACAGTAAGTTATTTCATAGTGCTGTTAAAAAGTTTTCGAACTGGCACTTTTCAGAGGAAAAGGAGGCCTGTGATGTAGTGACTTTTTAAGAGGGGAAAAATATTAATTCCAGACATGGAACGGTTAGCCAAGTGGCCTGAGGTGCTCTTGCGTGATCCACCCAGGGCATAGCCTTGAAGCTACTATCAGGTACTTGGTACACAATTTGTCTCCGCTTCCTGTACACTGAGGTACGGAACCCTATCCCTTTAGAAAAGTGACACACTAAAACTACCTTTTTCAAAAGTGAAAGATCCGTTTTCCTTCTGAAGCTTCAGACTGGATGTAAAAGTTTGAGAGTATTTGCTGTATATCAACAATAGCTGATTTAGGTGTGTTTGATATCTAACAGAAACAGAAAGATATTTTCATGTCAATTCCAAAGAAATATGAAAAAGACACAAACACTTTTGCCATATCAGTTTCTATAGATGAAAATATATTCATCCTAACCAAATTTGTAACTTTATATTAGTTTTAAAGTTCAGTGACCCTGAACTTCAAGTTTCTCTGTACTCATTAAGGAGATAAGCAGTGAATCATGTTGAAGTCTCATTTGTTAGGAGTGGCTCATTAGAAGCCACTCCTAACGAAAATATTGCTTACACTATGGGTGAAAGTGAACTAACAGAAACATACACAAAGACTTGTTTTCTAAATGAATGCAAATATGCTACAGTCCCTGCTAATTTCTTCTGAAAAGTGAACAGCAGTTCACTAACTTTATCCTCTATAAAACAAGAAGCTCTTCCTTAGATATACATTAGATATATCCTGTTGTGTTTGAATTGGCCATACTCTATCTGTTTTAGCTGTGTACACATGGCAAAATAAGTGCATACAGCTACTTCAAATGTGATTGTTTCCATTTTAAAGGCATAATAGCTTAAGTGTCTACAAATGTTGGCTTGCTTAATAGCTATCATTGTTAGTAGCTATCTGCTGGGCTGCTCGATGTCTCTGGCCTGCACAGAATGCTTGGAAATGAAGCAGTCTTCTCTTGTTTGTGCAGGACACCAAGATGGTAAAAAAGTGGAATGTCCCACCTTTTATCTGCTTGAAAAATGCACTGGAAAGGAACAGATAACTTTTCCATCAGTATTGTGCCCACTGGGGGCATGTGATATTTGATCTGAACAAGCAGATTTTATGTATTTCTGTCCATAGTCAGTATTCATAGAGTTTAGGGCCAAGCTAAACGTTCTTGTAATGATGCAGAATTAAGCTACTGGTGATGGCTTATTTACTCTAGAGCAAGCATGTATAGCTCTAATTTGGATCAGGACCATGAGGCTCTGGGGGTTGGGGGAGGCATGTTTAAACTCTGCCACCCATCCACTTTCATCACAAAATTTCATCCTCTTGTTGCAGGGGATTAAAAAAAAGGGAAAAAAACAATTTTGGTATGAATATGTTTAGTTTGGCCCTTAAAACTGCTAGTTTCACAAGGGAAGTGTGGAAGATTACTGTCAGAGATGGTTACGTTTCTAAAGGAAGTTTGCTGAGGCATTTTAAAACAGGATGTGCTTGGCATTTAACAGTTGTAGAAGAAAACTGATCAGATACATACATATTGATTAGGCTTATAGTCATTCTGTTCCCATTGTTTAAAATACATATTTAGAGATAAGTCACAATTGATTGATTCTAGCCTTGGACATCTCCTAACCTTAGTTTTAGCTTCCTAGTTGGCTGAGTGTTTATGTCATCCTAGAAATCATATCTCATCCTAGAGATGGTAGCAAATAATAGCTTAGGTGCATTATTGTTCTCTACAAAAAAGTGCCTAACCTAGCATGCTGGTACTTAATGCACATTTAAAATCCTGTACACGGCTATATATGAATGAGGTGTTTGCTATCTAGGTCTTCCTGGGACGATTAACTTGTACAGAGTGTGCGGGGAGGACATGGAAGGACAGCTTTATTTTCCAAGTAATTGTCCATTTTGCCAACCCAAATTCAGTCCCTCATAAGTGACAGGGTTCCATCATAAAGATGATGGATTGGATCCAGACTTACTCTGGATCAACTCAACTGCAGAAGTGGACTTCCTCAGCCCCTCCATCCCACCACAGTCCTTACAGCCTTCTTAAAATGCTACACCGAGTCAGGAGACCCTGATGAATGGAATGAGCTGTTTGGTTGGTGTGGGGATCCCCAAAGAACAGGCAGAAAGTCCCTTGGAGAAGGTCCCTTCCTCTTGTGGAAGGTAGTTCCTGGAACCAACCCAGTAGCATCTGGAAGTATTTTACAGTTTTGGAATGTGGTTGCTTGGGCATAATTACACACCTATGTTCATACGTATCACTGTATACATTACATAAAAAGAGAGATGCAACATTAAATGGAGGAATCTCTCTGAAATTTGATTTGACTTGATTCCCCCCCCCCTTAAGTGTGAAAATGTGGACAAGCTTTTAGCTTGATTTTCTTATGGCAGGGCTACCTGATAAAATGACCACAGCTGTCCATTCCTAGTCTAGTGAGTCATCCAACACTGTGGTGCATTTATTATTATTATTATTATTATTATTATTATTATTATTATTATTATTATTACATTTCTATGCCGCCCCTTGCCGAAGCCTCGGGGAGGCTTACAACACAATAAAATACATTGAAATACAAAATTACCATTAAATACAAAAATACAAAAAATACATTTAGCTTTGTCCAATGCAACAACACTCTACTCATGGCAGTTTCTGATGTGGATCTATGCAGGCAGCCTTGTGATCTTGGTTTTGGGTGTGCTGCCTAGAAGTAGAGAGCCTTATGAGCAAAAGCCAGAATATTCTAATACATTTTTCATGGCCTTCAACATAATTTTTATCTGCAGTGTAGAACATATTGAATGGTAGATATACTTATTTTTGCTGCTCTGTTGAATAAATGGTACTCTTTCAGTTTCTTAGGTTTTCCTCTGCTGATAATTATCAACAGTGAAAATAATGCTAATATATTACTGGACTTTTCTTCCATTCCCTGATCTTGAATTGTTTCCTTTGCTGTTACTCCTGTGACTAAACCTGTAAGTTTGTCTGTTTGGTTATGTGTGACATACTAGGAAAGAAATATGCAGTTAATCTGAACTTTGGTCTTCCTCAAACCTACACACACCCTTACAAGTCTATTGCAGCATTCCTATACACTGATCAAGAACTTTGTCACTTAAAACAATTAGAGCCTATGCTGATTATGTTTTAAGTGAATGGTATATTAATGGATGAATTACATTACAGCTAAGTACACCCTCCAGGCCTTTTATAGTGTATTTATGAAGTATAATAATGTATAGAAGATCCTTAATTCTGTGGAATAATGTATTGTAGGGTTTGCATATGCAACTCCTACTATGTTGAGTCCTTTTTTGAGTCTGACAGAGTAATCAACTTTTTGATACTTTTTTTTAACAAATCCTTTTGTTATATGTTGCACAGAATACTTTGTTAGGTTTGTTTTTTAAAGAATGCGAATAAGATTGCAAATCACAGGCTGTTTACACTGAACCTTTTTTGTAGATTTGAAGTACAATCCACTGATAAATATTTGGGGGGAAGAAATCCTACGATCTAGTCATATTAATATTAAGAAACACAATATTTCTTGCAGAACTCTCATTCATGTCAAATGGATTAGTTCAGGAGATCTCAGATGGTGCTCTGCCTAATAGAGCTATTCCAAGAATATTTCAGACTGAGGTTGTGCTCTGTAACATAGTTACTAGGGAGTAAACCTCACTGAAAAAAATTGCAAGTTCTAAATAAATGTGTAGAGGATTCTCCTGGAAATTTTTTTTTTTTTTTTTTTTCAGTTGCTGCCAACCCAAAATTCTTCCCAAAACTTTCAGATTGAGGGATGAATGTATATGAGAGAGATTCCTATTTATTAATTAATATAAATAAGCTCATTTCTTATATATGGCAAGTTCTCTTCTTAGTAACACTCTTGATTTATACCAAATGTAGTTTTGTTTTGTTTTTTTTTAATTGTATTTATATTCCACCTTTTTTCCTTTCAAGGATCTAGTTCTACTGAAAAAACTAGTTCCAAGAGACACTGGATTTTAAAATGTAGAAATAGAAGTTATGAACTTTACCCTTTTATTTTAGTGTATTTTTTAAAAATCCTACAAAGAGGACCTGAATAAACTGTACTGTTTGTATAGTTACATACTGTAGTTGCTTGATGGACTATGCACACTTGTAATTTAAACAGATGGCTTTAAAGTTCTCAGAACTCTTTTGTGTATATAGTTATATTACATGCACTGTGTTAGCATTTACTTCAGTGTTGGGTTTTTTAGCTAGGTACGCTTAACTTCCTGCCCTCAAAAAGATTTGTATTCCTCAGAATTAAAATTAAATGTTATAGAAATTACTACAATTAATGCTTCACTAAAACCAAATGGAGTATGGTCAAATAATTGTTAAAGCAATGTCCTACTTAAAGTCCAAAATATTGCATTGACACCCCTATAATATACATATTACTAAAAGGCAAGTCCCATAATGTTTAGTGCCATTCATTACACATGTATTTTAACATAAAGTGTATTTGAAGCAGAAAGCTTCTTGATACATGTATTGTATGATACATGCATTTGCAATGGACATTTGCTGCACATGTATTCCATCAAACATGCATGTTTAAAAAGCAGTTTATGAAGGTGACCTAGAGATGTTAGCAGATGTTAATTTCCCCCAACCACACCATCAAAGCACTTTGGGGAAGACTTTTTGTATAGCACCAATTAATAAGTAAAATGTTAAAGATCTTCGCTTCATTTGTAGCAGTGGTGATGGACAGTATGCCTCAAATGTGAATGCAAAAAATGGAAAAGAAAGATGGGAACAAAATTCAAATGTTAGAGACTTATTTGCTTAAATACTGTTGTGTTGCAATATTGCTACTTCAGGCAAATTCTAAAAGGCTATTTTATTAGCTTCCAAAACAATGTATATATAGGGAGAGATTTGTTAAATGCTGAGAACTTTAGCTTTGCTTTAAAACAATAGTTCTAGGCATGTTGTATTTGCCTTGTAAATTAGCAAAGTCTATTTATTAAGGTTTCTGACAACAAACCTATTTAATAATATGTAATGTTTTAAAATAAAAAATTTCTAGGTCAATGTGTTGCTTTGAGACTTATCTTTCCCCCTCAATTACCTCTGAAGTAAATCGATCCAGCTTTATCCTAATCCTTCAACCAGCTTTCTGCCTCCACATAGCTCAGAATGACAACCTGTGTCAACACCATCACTGTGACATTTGATTCAAGCTGAGAACATCAACAAAACTAGAACTTGGTGGTTTATTGCTCAGGCTGGGGATTCATCTGCAAT